CTGTGTTGTAGATTCTTCTCTATCTTCTTCTTGTACTCCAGCTTTGCCATCTTCAGTCTCCTCTTCAACTCTTGTTGCACTTGTTTGAGTTGTTCTTTGTCACCATCTTTAAAAGCTTTCTTTTTTCTGGTTAAGGATTGCTTTTATGTCACTTGTGATCCAGGGTTTGTTGTTTGGGGAACAGAGAACAGTCTTTGTCAGTGTAACTGTGTCTCTACAGAAGTTGACATATTCAGTGAAGCAGTCAACCTGTCTGACAATGTTCATAATATCAACATCTGTTTCCAGCAGCACATTCCAGTCTGTTGATTTAAAACAGTCCCTTAGAGCTTTACTGGTTTGAGGTGTCCATCTTCTGATCTTCCAGTGGTGGTCAGGCAGTGGCTCTGTAGGCTTCTTTGACGTTGGCATACAGCAGATCCAGGGTCTTGTTTTCTCTGATAGGACAGTTCACAAACTGTGTGAATCCAGTCAGGTGAGAGGAGAAGGTGACATGGTTGAAGTCTCCTGATATTACTATTAGTGCCTCTGTGTGTTGAGTCTGTAGCTTGGTAACACTATTTTGCAAAACATTGCATGGAATTTCTTCAGTTGATTTAGGTGGGATGTAAACAACTGCTGTTATGACATGACTAAATTCTCTTGGAACATAATATGGCAGAAGAGCAACTGCCAACAGTTCAATATCTGGACAACACAACTTCTCCTTGACAGTTATGTGTAAAGGGTTACACCATCTCTGGTTGACAAATAAAGCCAGACCTCCTCCTTTCTTCTTGCCACTAGCTTGAGCATCTCTGTCTGACCTTATGAGAGTGAAGCCAGCTAGATCCACACTGGAGTCCGAGTTGCTCGCTTTTTCGGGTTCTCTGCCAAGTTGCTTCTCGTAGTGCTCTCCTCTTCCCTCCTTTTTCGTTGTCAGGTAAAACTGAGTAGAACACGTCATTTCCTGTGTGCCAGTGTGGGAATGTTGCCAAAGACACCAAATACAAAAAGAGCAAATGCTAAAAAATATTGTGAAGTGTCAGAAGAGCTAAACGGCTTAATCAGTGTTGTATCATCTCCTCTTGGAGTGGCTTGGGTGAAACAGATATTTACAGACACGTAGATGTTACACACTATAGCTTTTAAGCAAATCCTTCAAAAAGTCTCTTGATGCCAGACCTTGACCTCTCAATTTGTTTCTGACAGATGAGCCCACAGCCAGTCCAGCAGCACTGTTGCATTTGTGTGTGTGTGGATTAGTAAATGGGAGTCCAACCTGTGGACTACTTTATTTATTAAGGTGGAAAAGCTCTATATAAGGTCTATCCATTTACTCTGGAAGCGCAGTCCATATCCACACTTGAAGGTTTGTTACACAATCTTCTTATATCGAAACAACACCTTTTACCAGTAAAAGGCATTCTCACAGTAATCACAACATTCCTGTTCTAGTTTATTTAAAGTCATTCTATCCTTCAGAAAACCACTCTGACGCCCTCTTCTTAAATGAAACATTCAGGTTTCTATTATCAGGGGTGGTGGCGAGGGTTATGGTGCTCATGGAAATAGGAAGTACTTGCAGTACATAAACAGAGGCGCAACAAGTGGGTATGCAGTGTATGCAGCCGCAACCTCTGAGTCATACTTGATATCATTTTCGATGCCCCGGGGATAAAAAAATTACAAATACTTTAAAAGGCATTAAAAAAATATTACCATGAAAAACAGGACAGCAGATAGATAACCAATGAAATAAAATAATTAAATAACCAGAAAATAAAAAATATTTTAAAAAGACAATTTTTTCACTTGGAACCCAGGTTTCTCCACTGGGTAATTGGGTAGTTGGTCCTCACGGATATACGCTGCTACAGCTCTTTCTCTTTTGACAGCTTCAGGAGACTTTGGGTCATACTTTCTCTGTTTTTCAAATAGCAATGGAAGAGTAGGCTGTGGTTTCTTCAGTTTAGTTGCAGGTCGACTTCTCCCTGCTTCAGTCTGCATCTTTAAAAGAAGAAAACATGTTTGAGTCACGTTAACAAGCTAAAAGCTGCTAGCCATGGGCCCGCGGCTAATGGCTAATAACAACATTCACTGAGCATAAAGCTAACCGCAGCTACCGCGGATTAATGCTGGGCACCAGCCAGACTAACATCATTAAGTTTAATATGGTAATGTAAAGGATGAACTGGAGCTTTACTAACCTGCCGGAATCTGTCATGAAGGCCAGGGTGCCGGTCCTTGAGGTGTTTTGCCAAATTCGCCCCGCTACTCAACTTTGTGCCATACTGCCATACTTAGCTCTAGGAAAACCTTTGGACAGCAAACGTGGTCGCAGTGACCGCCAGACTCCGTCTGCCAGGTCGGCTGCACTGCTTGCAGAGTGCGTGCAATGGGCACTGCGGGCATGCACACCATAGTATCAATACCATGGCGAATTAAGATCGTATCCAGATACAGCATGTATTATTACTTTTCAAAGTATCAATACTATTGACAACCCTACAGGGTTTTCACCTGTAACAAGTCCTGGCAGCAACCTTCAATCCACCTCCCATTACAATCCTGCATCAAATAAGAGATACTACTCCTAACCTTTAAAGTCTATTTACCGTTATTTTAATTTCTGTTTCATTCTATATAGTATTCATGTCAATCTTCAGTTTATTATTTCACTTAGTAAAGCAACATTTGGCTTTTTGAAATGCACTATATGAATTTAATTTATTATTATCATCAGTTTTTTTATCTCAAAAATTTTAGATGTAGGGTGTTGCGCAGCAAGCACACCAATAAGTACACTTTTGCCTCTGCTTTTTCTGTTGAGGACTTACACAGTACATTAACTCAGCACCTGCTGGAGATGTATTGGATAAGTGCCCTGACATGTATTGTCTGCATGAGTAGGTGGAGTGACAGTGTTGAACCTCTGGCAATTATCTGGATATCCTGTGTATCACTGATCAGATGTGAAGTGTTTTAGCATATTCCGCTTGTTTTTGTCTCTACAAGGATACTGTGATCAAATTATTGTATTAATTACACTGTGTAAACATCAGTATCCTATCTGTTTGCAATCGGAGTGGGACTTTAATTCACCATGAAACTCTGGCAGTTTGGCTTTTGTATTTTTGAAATAGCACTCCCTTTCTTCAGTGACTGTTCATTTGGGAAAACATTTGCACACTGGAAGGTCAGCTTAATAAATCAACACACCATGAATACTGTAGGACCGCACCTGTGTTTTTCCCATGTTCCGTGTGAAGGGGCATTCTGTGATGGGAGGCAGCCTTGAAATAAACATTTAAATGCGCTGATTCACCATTTAACAACAACCACAAAATATTTCATGGAGGTGAAAAAATCAATAATTCAAAACTACTTTATCAAACAAGTTGTTGGAAATACAAATAAGCAAATATCTGATTTAGTTTTAAACACATTTTTCTGACTGAGATGCTGTTAATGCTGTCAGTACACAGGGTGATACACAGAACAAACCTTTTACAAATGCAATAGCATGGGTTCTCTGTCCAAAAGATATGAGTCTAAATTATGGTGTGGGAGGAAACAATGATGACCAAAGGCCAACTGATTGCTCAGCTCTACTCAAACACGTGAAAATTAGTCACTCAATAGTAAGTAAAAACAGCAAGAGAAGGAACTGTCAAAGTTTGATAGCATCCAACCAGAGATTCAAAATATTAAATCAATGGAAAACAATGTGATAAGTTGAAATACATTCTTTTTTTAATCTCTGGTAGACGGACATTGATTACATGGGTATATTATATAATTTATGTTAAACAATCATTGTGTGTTGACTTTGGGTTTTATTATCATTTTAACTTTATTGCATTACTTTACCCAACACATGTCTAAACTCCACTCTTCTGAAGAAAAACATATTGTTGCACAAATAATGATTTTTGTGCTAGGATTCATTCATTCAAGTCTTTCCAAGTGGCTTCTTTAAAAGGAAACTGTAAGCCATGATCGTGGTTTGTTTTCTTTAGCTTGTCTATTGAGGCTCTTGTTCAGTCATTTTAGTGTGGAAAGTTTGACGTATATAACCCCCAAATTCCAATGCCATACAAACGTGGGTGAGGACAAACAAGATAAAGAGAAATGTTGCACTTACCCATGGTTAATTCCCAATCTCCACTGAAGTGTCTGATCTACTGGCCCGGACAGAGTGGATTATTTCCTCTAGAAGGACACAATCTGCTGCTTATATGGTTCTCTTTCAGAATATTTCGCTCAATGTCTCACCATGGGATGCATGCCTCGCCTGCAGCCCTCAGAAGCATTTATCTCATTACGCCAATCCTGATTGGCTGGTGAACGTGTCCACCCGCCTTGGGTAGTCCCACCTGCCATAAATACCTCATGTGGGCGGCACCACCTCATTCAAACACCTCTTCTCACTCGGAGCGTATCTCTCGTCCAGGACTAGCTAGCATAACTGTCCACAGACGGATCTTATTTAGCTTCTGTCACCAGGCGCTACTAGCCTTGGATACTTTCTGCTTTGTCGGTCACACCAGATTGAATTTAGTGCTCCCTTGCCCCTCCACGGCTTGGTCAGCACTGTTTCTCGGAGCCCCACCACGGCTTTTCGAGTATTGAGTATTAGCACACCAGCTAATTCTCGGCTTTTTTGCTGTTAGCACACCAGCTAACTGTCTCAATTCCCCGCTGGCACACCAGTTCGCGAGGGATGGAGGCTACAACCCCTCACACCAGATGGCACGGAGACTCCGGTGCCAGATGCTGTAGCTGCAGGTATAACATTTCAAGCAGGGATTCACACCAGGTCTGCTCGGGCTTCCTGGGGCTGAAACACGCTAGCTGTCGACGTCCCCGGCTCGTGTCAGCACTTTGCGGCGTTCACTGTTAAGAGTCTCCGCAGACGACTAGCCTGCCAGCCTAGCCTGTCTGGATATGACCGCATTCTCCTTCTTGATGGCAACACCATCAGAGGCGGAGAGTAATTAGCAGTCGCTGCGGCGGAGATGCTGGAGGCTAGCGCCAGCTGGGGCTCCCAGCTTGAACTAGCTGTGACTCCCCAGCAAGAGGAAGACGTCCTAGAACTCGACTGTGGGGAAGATGAAGATGGCGCCTCGGAACTTCTCATATCAGAGGATGAGGAAGAGGACGACATCTTCATCACTCCGGCCCTGGCTGCACAGCCCGCGGCCTTCGCCGCCTCTCGGGATGAAGACATGAGAAGCATACCAGCTTCTCCTCTTCCTAGCTTGGATATGTTCGATGTGTGCAAACGTGCTGCTGCCCAACGAGCCATCCCCTGGCCTGCTATTGTAGCTAAGACCACCAGATCCTGCTACGAAGGGAAGAAATTCCCCTTGGCCAAGAGCTCGGCGAAACAACTTCTCCCTGTCTTCCCAGAGCTGCTGGATGAGGTGGCACACTCATGGAGAGACCGCCCTTTCAGCAGCAGGAGCCCGGTTCCCGGTGCCTCATCCCTCTACTGCAAGTTGATAGAGAGCCTGGGCCTGCTCCGCATGCCTCCGATGGAGCCACTTGTTGCAGCACGCCTTCACCCGCGGCTGTCAGCAGTGTCCTCCTGGAGCCCTAGCCTGCCATCCAAGTCCGACTGATTTCAGTCAGCACTGACTGAAAAGGCGTACAAGGCGGCAGCACTCTTGGCCAGAGCGCTCAATGTCCTCTCCCAGCTCACCGCAGACCAAGCTGAGTTATGTGAGGATTTTGTGCAATCTCAGGACCCAGCTACATGGGAGCAGATATCGGTTATCACTGACCTGATCTTTATGCATTCCCTCCCCTGGCCTTAATTTATCCCACTCTGTCCAGAGTGAGAGAGAACGGCCACACACTTATTCTGATAGCTCCACAATGGCCTGCTATGCATTGGCTGGCGGAGGTATATCAGTTGCTGTGCGCTCAGCTGTGGCAGCTCCCGCTGCACAGAGGCCTGTTATCACAAGGGGGTGGGACAATCTTCCATCCGCATCCAGAACGCTTGGCGCTGTGGGCTTGGCCCCTCAGTGGCTCCTGAGGATGATGTTGTAGCCCACCCTGGCATTTGTGCCTATAGAGGGTGGGCTCATGTCCCTTATTGACCTTGTGGATCTTGCTGCCTCACCAGGGGCCTCATGTGTTATGTCCAGTCCGTGCAGTGTGCACTTAATGGATAGGACAGAGGGTTTTCCAGGAAGAGCGGTCACCTGGCTGCATCCTGGGCCTTATTCAGTGGAGGTTCTGTTCAATACTGGACGTCTCTGACCCGTGCATGGCACAAATGGTCTTGATGTCCTGATAGAGACAGATTATCCATCCCTTTGGGTTGGTGGACACTAGATAAGCTTGTCTGGCAATACGGGAGCTACCATATCCCATAGTGAGACATCGAGCAAAATATTATGAAAGAGAACTTTCGGTTATTTGCATAACCCTGGTTCTCTGAGTAATATGAGTGAGATGTCTCACCAGACAACCCTTCTTGCTTGGGCGAGTGAGAAGAGGTGCTTATCTTGAATGAGGTGGTGCCGTCCGCATGAGGTATTTATTGCAGGTGGGACTACCCAAGGCGGACGGAAATGTTCACCAGCCAGTCAGGATTGGCATAATGAGATAAATGCTTCTGAGGGCTGCAGGCGAGGCGTGCATCCCATAGTGAGACATCTCACTCATATTACTCAGCCACATAACTTTAGGTTATTTGCATAACCCCTGTTCTCTATCTTTCCAGAGACAACTCATTATCGTGTGATTGCATGTGAATCCGCAGGTCTGAAACCTACCACGAAATTCGCCTCACAAACACGTACAGTAGGAATTGATGGATGGCGAAAATCGATGATGTTCTGCAGTGGAGTATATTATTTTACTACTGTGAACAAGCCAGAAAGTCATCACATCCTGTGATACTGTCTGAGTATAAGGTTTGGACAGAACTAAAGGCAGAATATTTTCTTAATATATTTATTCTGTTTGAAATTTTGGTTTAGATTTTTAGTGTCAGTATCAGGATGCATATGCATATTCATAATAAACAACCTAAAACCAGACAGTTAGACTGCTACCATTATGCTACTGAAACATGAGTCATATTACAGGAAAGGTGTCTTCTGTAAAGTCTGCAGTGTGGTTATGGGAAATGCTCTTTTATAAAAAAAAAAGTACATCATCTTATAATTCCCCAGTGTGTTGGATGGAGGCCACCACTGTTAATTGGACCCCTGATTCATGCTGCAGCAGCACCGGATACAACTATAACCAGGAGAGAACAATAATGGCATCTCTGTATGTACAGTTGTTTAAGTGAAAGAGAGGTGACAGTGTTAAGTCCTGTTTGCATACATAAATATATAATCTCATTATATCTGCGTAAGGAGAGAAAAAAACACAACCTGGTACAGAATTGTGCTTTGGAGTGGAAAAAGTTTGTAGCATCTATTCATGTTCATTTATGGGTTTTTTTTCCGTGTGCTTGTGTATTTTGGCGTAGGTGTGCATTTCCTAGTCGACATTTTCTGTACCTTTAAGCGAGTGTGTGGGTGTAAAGTGTTGTTTATCTCTGACATAACCTCCTGTCTTTCTAGCTTGTCACTGTTAAAACAGCTGCAGGTAGGATGATACATTATGAGATTCTTCATTGTTTCCTCTCTTTGTCCATTTCTTGTGTCTCTGTTGATGCTTTATTAAAAGAAAAGAAATGCTGTTTTTTTTTTTAAGCTTAGCATTTTGTATTCTGATTTCACTCCCCAGACAACAATGACTGTCTTAGCTATTTGACTGTTTTATCCTGAGTTACATGTCAAAGTTATAAACAATGGTACACTGATATTGGAGTGGTCACCCCTATAAATCATGCCAAATAAGACATCTGGAGAAATAGTGCAGTTATTAAGACCAAATCCACAAACAGCTTTCTGGCACTTGTTCTCCATCATTTGGATAAAGCAGATAGTGACAATTCACACAAAGTGTGTGGACTGGGTGCCTGTTTGAATGTGGGTGTAGACGGAGACAGCAATCAGTAGTTCAAGCTGCAGAGCACAATTCCCTTCTGTTTCCATCTCCAGACCACAGAGACACAAAATGTGTACAGTTTGAGTTCTTTCATAACAAATATATTTTAAACACCTCAGCTGCACTCCTGTTTCACCCTAAATCATATTGCAAAAGGATTGGAAGGATTTTATTTAATGGATGGAAGTGGATAATGTCACCCTGATGTGTTTCAGGTTGCAGACTGTAATAAGATGTAATTAAAAATTTATTCTTGGAAAGCAACATAAGCCTCATTCACAGGGGATTAGTATTACCTAGGGACTCCTGGAAGTTTGTTATAGTTGCAGAGGACATCTTTGTTTTATTCCCACGTAAAACAACTGTATCTGTCAGATCACCCTTTTTCATTGGATTTTTCTGGCAAAATATCTGCAGCTTTTTCTGCCCCTTTTATGGAAATGTTACAGTTTCACTGAGTGGGTGCTTTTGTCCGAAGCAACTTACATTTGAGACGCAAAGATCTTGTCAGAAGAAAAAAACTTCTTCAAGTCCAACTGGGACTGTCATGCAGAGCTAAATAGCAATGCACAGTCTGTTTATTGATGGAGGTTGTGTTTGACAACATAAACAGAGGTTTTGACAGCATTCTGGGTGAACATAAGGCAAACCATTTCTCTTTGCAGTAAGACCCATTTCACAGGGAGAGCAATTTAATATCCATCGAACAGGTCCAAATGTCAGAGGGATCAAAGAGAAGACACACTTTGCAGCATGCAGTAGAGAATATGTCTTATCATGGATAAAACGAGACATACCCAAAATTTAAAGCCTTGGAGTGCATTAGATAAAAGTGATGTCACCTGCATTTATTTTTTTTCGCAAACTGGCATTAACTACAGTTTAAACACTGGAAGTTCATGCATAGTTAGCAACAGGTGTTGGGGTGGGGATCTAATTTACAATGTTCTGTCACTGTTTTTTAGGATTATTTGCTGTGTTGTTTTGCATGAATACAGGGATCTACTTGCCTCTGATTTACAATCCAGGACTAGTTTTCCTTTTCCTTTCAGTTTCTCATTATTTCACAATAATTAATTGTTATACAATGAAATTAAATCCTTGAGCGTTCACTATTCACAAATGTACACTTTTGAGAGTACAGCCAAACAGGTGACACAGATTTTTAACCATTCAACAACGTAACGGCTGGCTGCTGCAGATTTGATATTTATCATGTCTGTTTCTTTCTAATAAAGGCCTGGGATAGTTTTCCTCGCCAGCCACAGTTCTGGTTAATGTGCTCAGTAATAAACCCACCAACATAAAGCTGATTGGGCCTGATGTTGAATGAAAAGCTTCATTAGAGCCAATGATGAAGACCTAAGCAGTGGTGTCACAAGCCATCAGCCTCATGTTGCTGCAGATAAACACTGAAAGGGTACATCCATATTCAATCTTCATCTATTTGACAAATAATTAACATGATACTGCCATTATGGAAGAGTGGACTGAAAGCATGTTAAAAAATAAAATAAAAGAAAAAAATCTAGAGCATGTAATTAATGGATGGATAATTTGCCCCCCCCCCAAAAAAAAATCTTCATTCAAATGTGACCTTGTTGATAGTGTGATTATCCATATTTGAGAAAATTATATTTTATTATTACATTATATTACTCTGGTTTGATAGATATGTAACAAATATATAATCATATAATCATATATTATCAATATAAGACAATGAACCGGATTTCACATCAGTGACCTTTGGCCCTTGGTGTGTGTGTGTGTGTGTGTGTGTGTGTGTGTGTGTGTGTGTGTGTGTGTGTGTGTGTGAGTGCAGAAATTCAACAGATCTCTGGGGTATTTTAAGAGTTAATAATATGGCCTGGCCTGTTGCTCCATGTAAGATAAATTTTAATCAAAACAGCTGATTCATGATGTAAAAATATGTGAGTTCACTGGTGGTCTGCTCAACCAATCACCAGCTGGGTGTCAGCTCAAGATACAGGTGGCTTTGCCAATATTTTTAGGCTTGTGTGTAAATAAATGACACTGTAGATAAAAAAAGCCAAGAGTGTCTGAAGGGATTAGTCAAATATTGCTGGTCTGTTGCCAAATTATTTGTACCTTCAGGGCTCCACTGGCTTCTCTTGTATGTGAGATGCAGGTGCATGTCCACTTTCCTTCAGAACAACAGAGAGAACTTACTTTCATTAAGAAAAAAATAAAATGTAATAATTTGCTCCCAAACTCCCAAGCACAATTTGGTATTTTGGTGAGCGGTGCAGCCCGGCATAAGTATCCCCCCTCCCTACCTCAGCTCCTCCCAGCGGCTTAAGTCGTAGGAAGGGAAGAGAGAGGGCGTGGAGTGGGTTTAACACAGCCGAGACCTGTATTGACCAATAACATGAGCTCCTCTCCTCACCTTTAAATCCACCACCGGTGAGGCGTATTACTATTTTCGTGCAGTAGTCAAAGAGATCAAGAGATGTCTGAAGACAGCAATGCCACAAGATGGCGATAGAAGGCAGCCCCTCAACAAGTGTCGCTGTAAGCGCTGCAGAGGGAGCGTTCCACACTCTCTCATATAAGCACAGAGGGATTTGGTGTGTGTAAAGTT